TTGGTCACGTCAGGTCAGGCCACAGAAATCTAACAATGAGTTCAATCGTCATTGGAGCAGGGTGTCAGCAAGTCCGGAAAGTCCGTATATACAGGGTGTCTCACGAAAAACGAGCCACCTTGAATATCTGCCGAACGCATCGGAATTTCGAAAAACGGTAAAAGACGTGTTCGTTTATATCGAGGGGGACACCTTTTGGCGTATTCGACACTTTCCCAAACCGCGGGAGGGGCGCGGGGCGGGGGGTGCCCCACCCGTAAGTCGAAATTTTCAAATGGCACCCCTACTTTTTTATTTCAGAAATCATTTCTACGCAAAAAAACAAGCCACCCTGTCCAAACCGAATGTAAATCGGACAATTTTTCAGTGATTGACAGAGTTTGAAACATTTTTTTCATGCTCTTTTCAAAAATTTCCCACGCCCAATGGAATTGCTGTGTCAAACCAAACTCTCCGCCAAAAAAATTCTTAAACATTGCACTTTCGATAAAAAAAAAAAAAATAAATAAAATCTGCTCTACTCGAAATCTGGGACACGCGGAGCCCTTCTTTGCGACATAAAAATTCGTTATACCGAACGTTTCCGAGGGGCGCTCATCGGGAGGGAGTAGTAAGTTTTAGACAAGAATNTTGTTTTTCTACTTAACTGCTTCTTCATGGACACGGTTTCTTATGCTTCAGAAAAAAGATTAATAATTCTTGTCTAAAACATACTACACCCTCCCGATGAGCGCCCCTCGGAAACGTTCGATATAACGAATTTTTACGTCGCAAAGAAGGGCTCCGCGTGCCCCAGATTTCGAGTGCAGCAGATTTTTTTTTTTTTTTTTTTTTTTTTTTTTTTTTTTTTTTTATCGAAAGTGCAATGTTTAAGAATTTTTTTGGCGGAGAGTTCGGTTTGATACAGCAATTCCATTGGGCGTGGGAAATGTTTGAAAAGAGCATGAAAAAAATGTTTCAAACTCTGTCAATCACTGAAAAATTGTCCGATTTACATTCGGTTTGGACAGGGTGGCTTGTTTTTTTGCGTAGAAATGATTTCTGAAATAAAAAAGTAGGGGTGCCATTTGAAAATTTCGACTTACGGGTGGGGCACCCCCCGCCCCGCGCCCCTCCCGCGGTTTGGGAAAATGTCGAATACGCCATAAGGTGTCCCCCCCGATATAAACGAACACGTCTTTTACCGTTTTTCGAAATTCCGACGCGTTCAGCAGATATTCAAGGTGGCTCGTTTTTCGTGAGACACCCTGTAGTACTGATTTTTTAAGGGTGGTCCGGAAGTACTGAAAAAGTGCGATATTTCGCGAGAAGGTCCGGAATTTTTGTCATTTTTGTCGCAATTCGAGCGAAAAATACAAATTTTTGAAATTTTTCGAATTTCTTCAAATGGAGGTACTGAAAAAGTACAAGATTTACCAGATTTGCCTGTGGAGAAGGTACTGAATTTCTTGAGAATGTACTGGAAAAGTACTGTAAAAGAACTGATTTTCGACCAGCCTGTTTCAGTAGACACCCTGGCTCTTGATTCATCATCATAGAAACACGCGATGATCCGCGCCCGGTTTGGCAACCGCGCGTGATGATCCGGCCGGTCTGGTGATGGACGCGGTGATTGATAAATGCTGCCCAATAAATCGAGGCATCGTCAGTGATAACAGCGTTGCAGAGGGCGGCGACACGAAAGAGCTTTCACCGTGATTATGACCTCACTAATTCCCCCGCTCCCACCCTCAAAGTTAACACCCGGTTTCAGTTTTGGCGGCTCAGAATCAAAGCTCATCGGTCTCTTGTCATCGTATCCCACGTATGAACCTGGTCAGTGGTCATGCTCGAGGTCACGGCCTCCCAGGCTCAAGTCACTAAAAAGATTCCACTTAAAACCACTCGCAGGGTTCCAAGAGCCAGTGATAACCAGGTAAGAAGCCAGGGAATTTGAAAACAACCTGAAAAGTCAGGGGAAAGTCAGGGAAATGCTCAGGGCATTCAACTACGAACTTCATTGCGCACCACCGCACCGGCACACAGTGGATCGAGTCAATCAGAGAGGTCTGACAAAATTTGGAAACTTAAAACGCTTATAACTCCATTTATACAAACCCTGAAGGTTCTAAAGGTGGTTCCATTGGTTTCCTCGTGAAATTGTATACTAGGAATACCTCTTGAAATTCAAAATGTGACGAAATAAACATAAAAATTTGCAGTTTTAGTCAAAAATTTCATGTCCGACCTATCTCATTAACTCGATCTACTGTGCGGCACCGCGCGTCAATGTTGGCGAGAAACATCCGGAATATAGCAAATCGGATGATGCAACTTAATTAACTTTGGTGTGATGTTGGGTTGCATCGCCAAATCTGAAGGCGAACTAGCTGCGATTCGTTTCCGAACAACAGGTCATGCCTCGCCGCCCCAATGATTCGGCGCATTATTCGCCATTCATTGTCGTAGAGCGTGCATTCCCTTCAAGTACCACTTATTTACATTAACATCTCTGTGAATGATAACTAATCAGGTTGCTACACAAGTCAATGACGCACCGTATCAACATATTGTGTTGAGGCTCTTTGCTTCTTTCTCTCCACCTCTGTTGTTTGTCTTACGGAGTTCCGCATAACTGTGTTCGCGCGTTCCATATCTTCTAGATCCTTTGCCGAAGAAGCATTGAGAAAGCACCCAATTTGTCAGGAAATGCCGTACATCTCGGAAGCTATTTAATTTTTTAACGGCCGCATAATAATCGGCCTACAATCGTAAATGGAGTTGAGGCGAAGGACACCCACCCTTGGTGGCTGAAATAATTAATTTCGGGAAGGTGCAAGGATGGTTGCCGGCGCTCGGACGTTAAGGCGTTTTATGATAACGGCATTTTTACGAGCTCCATTAGGGAGGGGCCGGGGGGTAAGGTGGGCGCCAGGTTGGACCGGTAGCAGGCGAATCGGTTTGGGGTGGCGGCCGGGCGCCCATTAAAGATGGATCGAGCGGCAATTATTTTGGCTCTTAATGGGCCCGGCCACGGATCGCGACACCCCAAATTACCTTATCTCTTATTAACGCTCATGTCGAGCTCGCCGCGGCCTAAGTTAGCCCCGCTTTTAAAACAATTTCTGATCTCCTCGGTAGAGTCTTTGATTCGGCTCGAGACGGAGAGGCTCGGTGAGAGAAATGTTGGAGGATTTCTGCCTTTTGTCTCTACAGGGTTTTTACTTCATTCGGTCTAGAGTACCTGTATAGGGAGAGTACCGACAGATCTAAAACTCCGAAAGTCCATCAGGCCTTCACCGATGCCTCCGCGAATAAAGTTAGGGCCCAAAAGGGCAGCCAACCTATGAATTAATTTCAATTATCCAGAGCGATTTACTGATACTATTGTTACGAACCGTCCTTTATTAAGCACGTATTTGACTCAGTGTTTGCATAAATTTACTCAATTTCGCGGAAGAACGCTCATTTCTGTACATTCTTGGCCATCTTGGTTAGAACTGGAATCTACAGACTGGCAGTGGAATTTAGTGCGTCAGAAGTTGGTTAGAAGGGTGGCTGCACTTTTGGGCCCTAAGCCCTCCATGAACCGATCTGTCGGTACTCTCCCTATACAGGTACTCTAATTCGGTCAACTGGAATGAAAACCATGATGCCAGGGCCGGATTAAGGGGGTGGCGGTGGCCACATGGGCCGCGGCCCATGGCGGCAAAATGTAGGGAGCGGCAAATTTTGCAATCTTTTTGAATGTAGGTATCAAAAAAAGAAGAAAGAATCGGATTCAGAAAATAAATTACAAATGGAAAAGGCGACAAAATCTCTCATTTCCTGTAAAAGTAAAAGTATAGTAATTTCTAATTTTGTCGTCTTTTGGTGATACAAGAGACAACACCTTTAATTAGTCGAGTTTAGAGAAAAACCAAACACGCAATTTGACCTTGAGCGGAGCGGATAGAGAGCAATGATGACGAGGACTGAGATGAGAAGGAGAAGCCCTCAGCGCGGCGGTCGGCATGAAACGCATAGCGCCTACAAGACTGCATGAATACTTCACGCATTGCGTCAAACACCGCAGGCAGCAGCGGTCGGCGGGAAACGCATAGCGCCCACAAGACTGCATGAATACTTCACGCATTGCGCCAAACACCGTGCGGTCCGCGCAGCGGTGGAAGTTAAAATTATTAAACCGCATTTATGTATGTTGCGAGTGATTGCGATGGACAAAGGAGGTAGCAATAGACTCACTAACGGTATCCCATGAGGGACCCTATAGTTCTACCTCGATAGCAGAGAGCACTAAGTGTCAAATTTTCGAAATCGAGCAGCGAAATTCATCTTAATCAAAACGAGACTTATTAGAAAGCCGTTAGTGCGCAAAAAATGACGTAGTTTTTGGCAAGACAGCAGTAAGTGACAATATTCCTCCAGAGAGCCAATGAAAACAGTGCTTTCAAGTAAAGTGCCGCCCGCTTCTGCGAATTTCGAACCTGAAAATGCGTTTTGTGTGTGTCCAAAACGCAACCACGAAAACATGCAGAAGATAGCACTTACGGCTGTCTTGTCTAACAATAACCTAGTATAAAAATGAAAAATACGCTTTGTTTGTAATTGAAATAAAATCAGTCGATTTTTAATCATGCAAACGATTTTTAGGAGTCTTTCGGACGATTAGTGGCAATTTGACAAATGAAGGAGGCTTCTTTCAATACAATTTTCCGGTCAGAAGCCTCTGAGCCCGTTTTCTCAAAACTTCATTTTTGCACGTACTGCTCTCTTCGCTATCACGGCAGATTTGGTCCATCATTTTTGAAACAACGGAAACGCGCNGGGGGGGGGGGGGTTGCCCGTGGATTAGTCTCACTCGAAGTATTCAGATCCTTGCTTTTGACATCGATATTTATTTCAGGTTTTTTCTTTTTTTTTGAAGATGCGTTGCTTGCGGATTAGTCGTACTCGCAGTATTCAAATTCTTGCTTTTGCAATTGATATTGATTTCGGTTTTTTTGTTGTTGTTGTTGCAGATGCGATGAAGTTGGAGATCTGGCCGCTGGCCCCGGTGCAGACCAAGTCGGTAGGTTCGAAAGTGCTCCTGACGTGCCGGATCGCGGCCGGCGGCTCCATCCAGGAGGTGCGCGACCTCCACTGGCTGGACCCGCAGAACCGGACGATCGACAACAACAACCCCCTGCTCAAGGACCGAATAACCACCATGCACATGCCCAACGATAAGTCGCTCCTCCTCATCTTCCAGGACCTCCGCGCGGACGATGGAGGGCAGTACACCTGCGTCGGCTCCTACTCCAACGCCGAGCAGCTCGCCGCCTCCGTCCTCATCGAGACCATCCGTGAGTACCCTTTCATTTTTCCGAAGGAGAGTCAGAATAGACCGTATTCGATAACGGTTCGATGTATCGTTTGGTTCGAAACAATAGAACATAACCTCAAACCAAACTAAAAGGATTTAAGTTGGAAAAGCTGAAAATGAGAAATTTCCTGACAATTTCACTTTGCATTGGCATTTGGTACTCAAAAGAATAAAAAATCTGTTACAAAAGACCCGTTTTCTTAGATTTCTGGATTTAATTTTGAGGCTAGCCGGCCAGGTTGGCCTAGTGGTTAGCGCGACTGACTCTAGGTCAATAGGTCCCGGGTTCGAATCCCGGTGGTGGCGACAAATTTTCATGGAACTGACGAGTGGATCTGTAAGCAGAATTCGCTCGGCCTTAATCCGTGAAAATTTTTAAGCCCGAGCATGGATGTCTACCAAACTCCCTGATGTCTTCGGACAATAAATAGTGCCTATAGATGGCTGTAGATTCCTAAAGGAATAGAAGCCACTAAACTCTCAATAAAAAAAAAAAAAAAAAAAAAAAAAAAAAAAAAAAAATTGAGGCTATGTTTATGTTTTGGACCAATCGATATCGATACAATCTCACCCGTTGATGTATCGAATACGATCTATGAAAAGTGATGATGGTTTCGAATCGTTCATCGATCCGACCGAAAAATCGATTTTTGACCAGAGAAATCGATTAGACTGCATCGATTTTCTCCCCGTATCGATGTTATTTTGCGATACTTTCAATATTTCTAGACTGCCGAAGCTTTTCTCAGAGACTTATGCCTATCTTACAGAAGTTTTCTCTGTTTGTTTTTGTGGTGATTTTTTCATACGTAAAAATCGTCGAAATTTCATGGAAAATGAAATTTAGCGATTCGAATTAGCGATCAGCGATTCGAATATTATGCGATTATGTAATCAGCGACATGAAATTTGGCACCTCTGGTACAGGCAGAAGAATACCGATTGTCAGGAAATTCCTTTTGCACTTACATCGATTCAGCTTTTATTGATTTTATATATTTGACCTACACCTTCGATGTGCATTTCTTCATCAGACTTATACCTATCGGCGGCTGCCTTCTCGCCACTCCCTGGATTTTCTCTACGAAGATGAGCAAAACTGACACGTGTATGTTTTGATTGCAGAACCGATCATGTGGGTGGACGCGCCGACCGTGCAGAACCCGATCAAAGGGAAGGAAGGGAAGATCAAATGTCGAGTGAACGCCAACCCCTCGCCGAACGTGGACTTGCTGCGGAACGGCGTGGCCATCCAGTCGGGCGACCGCTACGTCATCGAGACGGACGGCCTCACCATTAAGAACGTCCAGGAATCCGACGACGGGTCCTACATCTGCCGCGCCGTCGTCATCCAGACCGGAGAGTTCGCCGAAAGAGTCATCAAAGTCGAGGTATGGTCCCTCTATCACAACGGCAACACTGCTTTTCTCTATTTAAACCAATAAAAAAATAAATAATAAATAAATAAAAAAAATTCAATTCTTGATTTAGGAGGTCTTGTTCTGGAGGTCGATAGAGAATAGGTAGGTATCTGAAATTTAATGACTTTCATGTCTAAGTGGAAACCACTGAGTGAACTGAACACGAGGATACCTTCGGTTCATGAATTGAACAATTATTAGAGACGATTTGACAAAATGATCTAATTTGCTAAAATACGTGTGTTTGAATGGGAAATGCCGTCAGATAACGTCACTAGGCGGTGCATTTTCTCACTTTTAAAAATATTTTTATACTATTTTCCATATCAGAAAAAAATTATAAAAAATACTGTGAAATCAGTTCTATTAGCGTTTTCAGATGAAGCAATACAAAATTTGCATGCAAATTCTCCTTTGGTCGTTCCCCGGATGAAGGAACGTCTCTCCATTCCAAGGTTGCAGAATTGGCTCAAAGGATTCGATTTTTCACAAGAATGAACGTGTGAAATACTTTTCCAAAATTGTTCTGATTTTTGCCTGAGATCAGATGAAAACTCAGCGTGATTTCCCGCTAGATATGCCCAAGATTCCACAGTTGAAATTGCAATTTGCGAGAGAAATTTGGCAACATTGAAATGTAGTTACGTTCTTTCTTGGGGGAAACGACGATATTGTCGATTGTTCTACATATCCTCAAGGGTGAATACAATTTCGAAGGTGTTTCGTGACCTCACGCGAAAATTATTGTGAAACGAATTTTTCGGGAACTTTTTATATTTTGCCCGAAAATATATATAATATAGTTTAGAAATTATGGACGCCTGGCAAATAATTTGATTTTAATACGAAATCTGACATGAATCTCACCCACCATAAAATAGCGCTTTAGGATTCATGTTTCAAATTAGGGATGGTCGAATATTTAGATATTCGAATATTCGGCACCGAGATAATTGCATTACATTCGAATATTCGCTTCCGAAGTATTCGAAATCGCAAATTCGAATAATTCGAATATTCGAATAATCGCATTCAAAAGTGTCAAAAATGTCATTCTATCTCTCACGGTTCATAAAAAATCAAAAATCGAAACAATACTCGAAAATATTCGAATGTTCGCATCCGAACTATTCGCAATCGCAAGATTCGAATTCTCAAATATTCGCAATAATCGCATTCGAAAAGTTTCGAATATTCGAATATTCGCATTCGAATTCGATATTCGTCCATCCCTATTTCAAATGTTATGGCAACCCACCAACGTGGGTTCAGTTTTAGCCATCACAGAAGATTCAAGCAAGTGAAACGGCTCACGAACTGTCATTTCTTTCTTGCAGGTTCAATCTCCCCCAGTCATTGACGATTCAATGATTTCGGAAATCAAAGTCACAGAAGGCGAGTCAGCCAGCATCGCCTGCAAAGCATACGCTAAGCCGCCCCCGTCCTATTCATGGATTAAGGAATCGACGAAACAGAATTTGGGAGTTGGCAGCGAACGATTCATGGTTAACGAGCACACCGGTATCTTGACAATCAACCATGCCCTGAAAGATGATGATGGCGAGTTTCGTTGTGTAGCTAACAATCCCGCTGGCAGTGTCGAGAAAGCAGTGAAAGTGACAGTGATTGTCAAGCCGAAAATTTTCAATCTAAGAAACATTTCTGCGGCCGTCAACCATGAGGCCAAACTCGAATGTCAAGCTACTGGCAACCCGCTTCCTAATATCTCTTTCAGGTAGGAAATCTGGCAATTTAAGATCTCAGGACAAAAAGTCCAACTTACCGTAATTTTTTGTGCCCATTATTTGATGGCCAGTGACTGGGTTGGATGCTTATTTTTTGCCTATCGAAATTATGGAGGTACCCATGATTGTTAGTCTAGATTTTCTAACTTCTTTGTAATAACTTTGGAAAATATGACGAGCTCAAAATAGTTGCTGGATAAAAGCCATTTGTTTGTACCTTTTTGTTATCAATATTTAGAAGTTCCATATGTAATACCGGAAGGGGGGAAGGGGGTTACAAAGCAATTTATGAAACAAAAAACAAGGTAATGAACCTGTAACAATAAGAAGCAAAGCTACAAATTCCAAGAAAACACTAAAACTTCTCAGCTTACTACTTACCCATTCTCACTAGGAATGATAATATAAAAAAAAGCTTTATCTTATCACTTAGTTGTGACTAAGACCTGAAACATTGCTTCTCCTAATGTGTCTAGTATGTGTCTCTATGTCTCTCAGATAAAAGGGAAAAATGAAGTGTCCAACCTGTCTAGACGTATATGATTGAGTGAATTTTTGGCTCCCTCATCGATGAATACCCCGGAGGTTTTTTTTTTTTTTTTTTGTTTTTTCTGTATCTGAGGTATTCGATGTTCCACGACTCATTTTGTTCCTCCCCCCTACTGTTGATGAGGCATTGGTAGCATGCAACTGTCAGTGGCATCTATTTCCTTCTGAAGGGAATTGAAAATGATTTTAATATTCGATTGATGATTAATTCCACCAATTGGAAGTTTAATTGCAGTACATTTTTTTATTTTTGTTCTTCTTGCTTTGGTCCAAACATTCCTTTTAGTATATTATGTACTTTTAATTGATTCAAGGTTTTTTTTATTTTCATTTTTTTCTGAGGTAATTTAATACAAATATTCCAGCCGGTTTACCTAACTATATGCTTTATCATTTATGGAGAAAGGAATGTTCAAAAAAAAAAAAAAAATCATTTTATCAGAGAAAATTGTAATCATGTGCTTTATATCGAAGAAGGAAATATTATTTTTAGGTTTTATTTTTACCATCAGGGATAATCCGCACTTTTCATGTGATATTCTCAAGGTAAGAGGAGCATCATCCTCATTTCTTCGAATCATGAAGAACATTTCTATGATTTTAAATCGATTTATATTGTTAATTTCTGCTTTTCCTACAGGAAATTAAGCTCTGAAACTTCGTTCGTTTTGGGAGTGCAGTCTACAGATTCCAGAATCAGTGTTGAAATAGCGAAAAACCAAGTGAAAGGAGAAGTGACTGCAACCTTGATTATTTCACAGCTTAGAAGGGAAGACGATGGATTATACGCTTGTACTGCTGAGAACAAGGTATTTTCTTACTACTTATGTTATTCAATGATTGTAAGCATTGTAGGATCTACTTATCTTTTGTCTGTCTCAAACATACATGGAAAGTTACAATTTTGCTTCCTGAAAATCTTAAAACAAACAAAGGTAGAAGACAAGAACCTTTACAAGTAGACATCTGTTAATAATTATTTGTTTTATATTGATTACAGGGAGGGAAAGAAATAAAGAATGGCCATCTAACAGTGGAATTTCCACCATCGTTCAAGAATTCGCCTATCAAAGAAGCCTGGTCTTGGAACAGGATGCCTGTGAACCTAACGTGCCTTGCTGAAAGTATACCAAACGCTACTATTACATGGGAATTGAATAATCGTCTAATTGAAGGCGAATATACCTTCAGAAAGTACGGAAATGGACCTGAAAGCACTTTGACTGTAAGTTTGCAAGTATCAATAAATCTTCTGTAGGTAAACACCCAGAATTCCATGAAAATTTGAAGTACCTAACAAAGGACTTTTTATTAGGAGATTGATGAATGAAAGTATGGAATACAGCACGAATTATTTAAAAATCTGAAATCTAGTCCAATTATTGCGCATCAGAAAAAAAGAGGATTTAGTTTTTGAATTTTACAAATAATAAGCATGCGAGAACCGATATTCTGATTTACTTTCTCAAACCACATCTTCCTAGTGTTTGTTGGTCAGTGAGTATTAGCCTGTACCTTCCATTCTATTCTGTATTTTATTGGAGTGTCAAAGATTAAACAAAGATTGACAGGAACTCTCCAAATTTCTAATTAATGCCTCTCTTTAACAACTCTTACTTCAGTCAAATTTCAGAATTCAGAGTCTGAAGTGCAAGAAGTATATTTTAAGAGTATCCAGCAAAGCATGTAATTTCTACCCTCTTTGTAGGTGACCCCATCTGACGCTAGATTTTATGGACATTACAAATGTGTTGCAAGAAATAATCATGGTGAAGCAAAGCATATCATTGAACTGAAAGAGGCTCGTGCACCTTCAGCTGTCCAACAAGCAAGACCCACAATAGTCACTGGTAAGTTTCAGAAACTTAAATTTTTACCCCTCGTTCAAGGGATCAAGTTATCATTCAAGTGAAAACACTAAACCTCATAGTCCTCAGTTTCTTTTGATTTTCCTATAGTTTTATGTTGCAGTGGTTATTAGTTTTAAATCGATGCCATCTTCGTTTCAAAGGTCATGGGTATTTTCAAGGAGGGGAAAAAGGGGAGAAAGTCTTTAAATTAAGACACTTAACTGTTTAGCATATATTTAAGGGGGTTTCCATGAAATATGAGTTCCAGTGTCAAAGAAATCAGGGGATGAATAAGCAGAAATAAGCTAAAAAGTAGGAACTTCCAGTTTCAAAGGTTTGTGGTGTTCCAAAATTTGTCTGTCTTATAATCTCTTTCACTTTTCAGGCTTATGATAAATCTCTACTTTCAACTGGTATTACAGAATTTTTATGCCTATGAAATTACTAATACTCAACTTGAAAATATACTAGCTACGAACATAGTGAAGATATCAAACATAGTTGAAGAGACAAATACCCTCCCTTCCTCTGAATTCAGTTTTGTTGATTTATAAATCTTCTGTGTTTCAGCCAATACAATCAATTTTGACATCGTTGGTCCTAATGACCATGGTGGACAGAAAATCAAAGCTTACGTCGTACAGTACAAAACCGACCGAGACCGTGACTGGCATATGGCTAGAAATCACACCTGGACCGTTGGTAAGTGTATGATGTAAAAAATATTTTTTTTTACAATAAGATAGACTTTAAAGCAGTGTCTACTATGTATTATATAACAGGAGGAATGTAAGAGATAGGGAAACCTAGTCGAGTAAGTAATAAATAATACACCTTGTTTAAATGATTTGAGGATGCAAGAATATTTAGATGCTATCATGTTTAATCTGTGATAGTAAAGGATGGACAAAAAAGGATGTATAAAAAAGGCTTTTTTACGTGCATTTGCTAAGAAACTAAGTAACTAAGAACTAAGAGTAGTAGAACTAAGTACTAAGAAAATAAGTGAACAATTAATTAAATAAACACATAATTATGAAGGAGTCAGGTTAAAGTGCCTTTAAGTTCTAAAAGAAAATGATACAGCTAAACCTGAGCTTTGAGTGGTTGCTCCTGCATCATTCGATGTGTAAAAACACCAAAAAATTGACTCTGCTTTGAGAACTTTTCAACGTTAGGAAGTAATAAGTCTTGAATAAAAAAAAAACAGCGATAATTTTTGTGTGTATGTGTTTTTAATACTCTCCTTGATGAGACATTCTTCATGGTTTTAACAGATGCTGCCCACATTCTTGAAAACTTGAGGCCGAACACCAAGTATATATTCAGGTTCGCTGCAGTGAATGATGTAGGTGAGGGTCCATACAGCGCCCTTGTTGAGCAGTTTATGCCTGCAACTTCTGCCCCGCAAGTGCCAGCCATCGTAACACAGCCCGGTCCCGATGGCTACATTTATTCCAATTACTCAAGTCTTGCACAGATCAGGTGGAGGATCCCTCACAACAATGGTGCACCTATTATCAAGTACACACTCACTTACTGTGTGGTAAGTCTAACCGCCTTGTGAGCTCAAATCACTCTCAAGTATGGTTATAAATTCACTATTTGGCAGTTCAAGTATTATGTAAGACATTTCAGCCAACTTTTTGACCCCTTCCCCCCTCCTCCTTTTTAAGCATCAGTAAGACACTTCCTACCCCCCTCCCCCATGACGGAGAAAACATGTGTTTGATCTGTAGGTCTACCTCAATGCAACAGCAATTCATTAACTACAATGTTACATGCTGATGCTGCAAATTTATTTATAGACTGAATTTTCTAATTACCTTCTAAAATAACATATGCCCACAGAATTTTGATATTGTGCATTCTCACCTGCTAATTCGATAATGCTATACCCACAGGTTGAAGACACAGGTCTTGAAAGGCGAGTAGTCAGATCAACTTGTAGACAGTCTGAAGTTAATTCAGAACGAACAACAGTTTATGACTTCAGAGATCTCAGGCCCGATACGACGTACAAATTTGAAGTACGGGCACAAAACCAGATTGGTTTCAGCCAGCCTGCAGAAGCATACGTGCGGACAGCCAAAGGTAAGGTTTCAAATCTTACTCTCAACTTTCCTGAATTACTATATTTTTGGCATGGTGTGCAGGCATTTTTTTAGTCTTAATCCCTTTTTTTTCAGTAGCATTGCAGTTCAATGTGGCTGTGTGCGTGAATTGTCTAATTTGAACTTGTATGAATTTGTTTTCAGTCATTTTAAATTACAATCCTCTTTAATCCGATTATGAAAAGAGTGTCTGATTATGAAATTTTTTTTGCATAATTAAGTTCTCACTCGTGAAATCGGCCCATTTCATGCCGGTTGTACTTCAACTATTGTTGCTCAATGAAAACCCTTCGCCTGTATCACATTTTTATTCTGTCATCAATTCGATTTCATCAGCGATTCCAATCATGACATCGTTTTACTTCTTTTTAATATTTGTGTATTTCTGTGATAACATGTGCAACTTTTAAGTTGGGAAGTTATATTGATTGGAGCTGACAGGTGGGGAACATTTTAGCATATGATATTTCAATTTGGATTGTAGTAGTCTATACAAATCTGCAACCCTGAGATTTCTGTTTATCGAAAAACCGACATTTTTTTCTGTTCATACCGTAATTTCTTCTCAACAGTAAGATGATTTCTCAAACCCTGATCATGCCTGAGAGATTTCTTCGCCCTTTTAATCGGACTGCACCAAGCAAAACAGCCATCGCCAAATTTCATTGAACAATTCATTTTTTTTACAGAAATGCTGTATGGAATCTTTTGAAAATTCCAAGGAATATGCTCAACGCCACAGGGAAAATTCCTGACATTTTCATAAGAATCTTCACCACCATTCTCTTGTAAAAGAATGAAACGTCTGATGTTTGACAGTGGCTCATATGACTTGCTCTCTTTCCACTTAATGCAGTCTAATTGATGTTCTCACAAGTTTTTCTGACTATTCTCTACCTATTCAATTCAATTATTCATTATCATTCTCTTTGTAAGCATTTTACAGTCTCCTTATCATAACTTTTCCCTGTCTATTCTTCGTATCTCCTGTCTAAAAAGCACTTCAATTTCCTTCATTCTCAACTTTTCCCTTAAATAGTTAAATTTAAGGACAGTAATGTCCTAAATCTAAAAATGATAATTTTGTCCAACTTGGTGTAGTTTGCTCTGGTAGCCTTTAAAATACTGAGATTTGCTCCATCGCTGTATCTTTCAACAATTTTTTGTCTAATCATTTAAGCAAGTATGGAAAATAACTCTTACCAAGGCATCATGGAAAAGTTCTTGAACTTTTTGCCCCTTAGGGGGAAGGGGTCTCCTTTCTTCTTTTGCCAGATTTTTGTCTCCTATTAAATGAAAATCAATTTTTTTTCATCAAGGTACAATTGATAGTCATCACTTAATTTTCTTTTTGTGTGAGAAGATTGTCACTTCCTCAAATAATTTCGCCTTCAAACTCTGTCGAAGTAATATTCCTGTCAAAGAAGGTCTCAATAATGCAGTATCATTGGATTGATTTAAATTGAATCATCCCAACTGTATTTCCGCTTGCCTAACTTCCTCTCAGATCTTATGTTTTTACAAGAAACTGTAAAACCTTTCTGAGAATTTGAAGGCAGCTTACTTTGTCAAAAATAATGTTACAATAAGTCAAGCTTAAGTGATCTGCATAAAATAATGCTTCTTCGTGGTAAAGCCATGCCAGCATGACCCTCTCAGCTCAAATTTTTATTTGTGGTCGTACTCTTACTTTTCCTATAACTGCTTCCTTAAAAATCCGTAAACATTTTTGGGTACCAACTTTCCACTTCAAAGTCACTTTTTCAGTATCTGCTATTTTTCTCTTTAGGTAAAAATTGGGAAAAAGTACAAACCTAACTTCTCTGCACCAATAAGTTTTTTATATGCCTCTTACTTATAATTACGTACATTGTAATCTTTTTACTTCTTCTCTAATATGGGAAGGCAGGAGGGGATTTTACTCAGATTGAACAATCAGTTTCCATTAGATTGAGAGAAAAAGTTGTAAAAAGTGGCTGATTTCATCGCACAATCATGTCAACTAAATATTTGACCCAACAATTATGAATTTTTCTAACAGATGTGTGCAAAAAATGCCCAAACCAGCAATCCACAGATTGTGACAAATCTGGGATAGTGAAGTCTTAAGACTTAAGCAAACTGAAAAAAGTAGGAAAAACCGAAAATTCGCTTGTGAGGCTAAGACACCGGATCAAAAGAAACAGTTTGCAATTTTGCAACCGCTTCTCGCGCAGCATGAATAAGTTCATTTTTGAACTTTTTGAAACCTTCCTCATGGGAACCTTGTAGGTCTAGCTCTGCAGTTCTTTATTCCGTTCCTATTTTCCCGGTTTCTTCTTAATCTTATTCTGTTGTTCTTTGAGTTTATTGGGTCCGAGTTTAGTTTTCTTCGAAGTCTCAAACTTCCAAGGCCTAATACTTGTAGCCTCAGGTATCATTGAATTGTAAACGCTCGATGAAAGGCAAAAAAATTTATCAATTTTCAGTGTTGTTCAAGTCTCTCAATTTTAGTATGTAGGCACTTGTGTCCTCGTAGGCAGATCCATTTGGTCTTTTATGTTTGGATGAAGTTTGATTATAATCAAATAATCAGATAATATTCATCCAAAACCAGCCCGAGTGCAGTCAAACTAACACAAAATAGTTGAGATTTCACTGGGAGCATTATTAAGTTTGAGATTTGGAGCCTGTAAGTGCCTAGAAACATTTACTCATTTTCTGATTTTACATTAATCAGGCTGCTTTGTCCAGTGATGCTCTCTTCTTTATATAAAAGGTTGCTTCTTATCTTCCATTTTATGACTTGAGGAGATCTCAAGATTTAAAACGATGACAAAAAATTGCTGTTATCTTCTTTGCTTGGCCTTCTTTAAAATTTCAATCGAGAGATGGTTGTGGAAAATAATGTTGATGGTAGTTGTAGCCACTAACATTTTTGTTGATTTCTCTTGACTGAGAAATGTAGCTTTTTTTTTAATTTTCTAAAATAACATTTTCCGGGTACAAACAAAAATCTCTAAGTAATTTACCATGGCATGTATGGGAAGTTTTTTCATTTCCAGAATTACAGTTTTTAGTTGGGTTTGAGTGGTTCAGAAATGGAGAAGAGAGACTAGACCATTATCACTAGCTCAGTCAAGTTTCGAGAAGCATTGTTAAGCATTATTTTTTAAACATCCCAATAATTGTCCACAAACTTTCCTTCTTTCCTTTGTAGCCTTGGTTGTCTTGTTTTGTTTTGTTTTGTCATTTTTCTCCTATCAACATTTTTGTTTCGGATTTAGATGGATATGGCCTGGCTGACTATAGTTCCTCATCGGTCCGGAATTCAATGTGCGTCTCACTTAGTGTAGGAGTCATTATTTTAGGAGCTTTAATTAGCTATTAGTCAATCAATTTCCTGTTAGCTTTATTTTCTTTAGCAAGATATAGAGTAATATTTTTGCTTTTGCAAGAGCAAGTTCTTGCTATACCCCTGATGGGATAGGCAACTAAACCATCAATAGAAATGAAATTTAAGAGAGATTGCCTTCACAAAAAAAAATATTGTGGTTCTATGACTTTCTATATAACCCCTCTATGACATGTAGCATGGCCCTATTTTATCCTTACATTTTCTGATATAAGTATCAGAAGTCTAAGTGTAGGTGAAAAACGTGACAAAATGACTACAAACTCTTCATAGTAGCCATCGTTACTGTTTTTGTTTAAATCTGTGGTGGCTTATAAGTGCTTTATCAAGCTTATTTTCAAAATCAAATTTTAAATTTAATCGTATGAGATTTAAAGTCATAAAATATTACTCTGTGTCTTTCAGTTTTTACACGTTCTCTCTCAGTTTTGCAGATAAAACTTGTTTGCAAAACTTATTTTTGATTTTGGAAATTAAAGTCTTTCCAATAGCATAGATATTGAAATCAGCAAATTAGTGTTTGAACGCACTTAGAGAAGAAAAAAAAAGTTTGTGCAAGTGAGAGCTAGGTTTAAAATCTTGAAGTCCGCCTGTAATATTCTGGCATGTCTTAATCTCTCTGGATTTCCTCCTTACTGTTCACCACTGTTGCTACAACAGTTTTTAATATTCTTCGTAAAACAAAGAAAAATGTAGAGGAAGTGCATTTTAACTTGAAGTTTTAAGAGGTAAATTTCAATATCAATGGAGGGTGGGATGTCAAGGGTAGACACAATTGGAATGATTGTTGCAAATGTTCCTTAAAAATTCAAAGTTTCTACCAATGAACAAGAAAGAAAATCAAAATTAGCTCTTTGAGAAAATTTAGATTTTTTAAGCCACCTATCAGAGCATTATAATCATGTGTTGAAATCAGGAGGCGAGAGTTTAATTATTGTGGACAAATTATGTTCACATTTATATTTGTTAAGGAGTCTCATAAAATTTTGCATCTATTTTTTTTTCTTTTTTTTTTAAAATTCGTTTAATTCATAATCAAAAGCTAAATCTTGCTAAATTTGGTGTTAGATGTTTTTAACTCAGTGGCGGATTCACGAGGGCATGCGCCCCTCCCCTAAACAAAAATAGAGGATGAAAGAGGATAGAGGAGGAGGGAAAGAAAGAGTAAGAGCACAAACGTGAACATTTTTTTCAGTTGTCTGAAGACTTAACTATTCCGTCTTCTTTTTTTTTGGGGTAGGGGGATGGGGGAGGAAAGGGATCACTTGTATGTCACCCAAAAATTATTGTCATGCTAATTTATCTTGCTTCCTTATCTTTTGTCATTTTTCCCCAATACTTTACACTCTTGAAGAAAATAGCATTCAGCATTATTCTGTGCAATAGCATAGCACAGTCAAAACTGTAAAATCTGATTTACATCCTGGAGTCAAATGGCGCGATCACATTAGTAGAATTGCAGTAAAAAAGGTAAATTACAACTTTGAACACTGTGGTATTACTCACCTAAAGCTTAAGCGGCTCAAAAGTCGATTCAAGGGGGTGTTCCTCTCTTAAAAAATTGCAACCCCCCCCTCCATCCCCCA